ACTCTTAACCGGTGAGGAGCGTATAATCCGTACAGTACTGCACGGAAAAATTGACCATTTTATCCACTACAATTGCATTGCTCAAATGTGCTGTTATTGGTACCATTTACTACTGAAAATATCAACGTGATGTTTATTTATATTTAGACATATTAAAGGCTTTAACGCTTGTTTTCGACTCGCACTACTATTCATGATTGAACAAAGTTTTGGCAGGTACTGTATGAAAAGGTATGTTTAATGAACAAGAGTCGAGAGTATAATGAGCTTTTTGCTCCCTACCTACGATTTTGCCAGGCGCATCCAAGACATTGGAAGGGGAACATCGCTAGAGAAAGTAATAAGTAAATGATGTATAATAGCGATATCAAAATGTTGAAGTATTTTGTAAGATATGTGAAATATCTCTAGCTTTGCCTAGGGTAGTTAAAACAACCCAAACCCGGCAAGGCGCTGTAGGTATATGGTGTATGGCAAGACACACTTGTTCGTGGGCTCGTTAAATTTTAGCACAAGCTTGCAATGCAACACTAAAATCAATGTCCGATAGGTGAAATCATCCCTACCATTTGAATGTTTTGAACTATTCTAAACTTTTTTTACCTCTTTAATTTTTACATTAAAAAAACGATTCTTTCGTCAACAGTAAATATCGCAACTTACCTACACTTTTATACTTCTCCACAATCAAATGGGGTAACTGAGCTCTAATCAGAAGCATTTCGAATTCGGCAAATTGTTTGTCGGCAAAGCATTGCATTGCATGCTCCCTTAAGACGTCTGGAACGGTTGAAGGTTCGTGCATTTCTGCAACCCTTAAAGCGCTCGTCCAGTCGCTTTTGTGAATGTACATGAAAATCGCTTCTCTGGCTTTTCCACCCAGCACGAATTCAGTTTCAGCTTCGCTGAATTTTCCTTCGTCTTCTAAAGCCATTGCATGCTTATAATGAACTTCTTCTGCCTAATGTGATTAATTTTGTTTTTAAATATGTAGATGCATACATGTATTATTTTACTTTAACATTAATGAATGGTACATGATCCTCTGCGTGCATAAAATTGTTTGACAAATGTTTGGTTTTAGTAAAAAACTTATAGTGCACTATAGACTTAAGAAATATATGTAATTTTGTCGTGCTAGCTTGATTTAAGCGAAAAGTTCATTTACATTACCAATAGTACCGGAAATCATTGAATGAGACTTGCATAGTAAGGCATTGGGAACCTCTAATAGGTAGTTGGAATTAAATTGAATGATAGAACCAAAATAGACTTACTTAGGTATAATTCTATTTTTATTTGTCCAACCCCTTTTTTGTTTGATTTTGAAATTTTATGAAATTTATTCAAAGATTGTTTTTGTACCTTTTCCGGTAAGTTTTTAGAAAGTTGTAGTCCAAAATCGAATTGGCCGGTTTCACAGGCTATATCAGTACACGTTTCTAGAAGGTCCAATTTTTGCAATAATTTGATTGCAGAATCGTTCGGTAGACTTCTAGCCCATAGATAGGCAACTTGTTCTGCAGCGTTTCTGATCCCGCTGTTTTTGGCTACCCTATAAAAATATGTACCCAGAACAATATGAAACTTGTTATAAATTAGGAACTATAGTAATGACTTTCTTTTCAAATTGAGTAAACTTGACATTAAAATATTATTATAATTACAAGTGCTTCCCCCTATCAGTCACTGTGACCTCGAAACTGTTTGTACCATTGTTTCGAGTTTCACTTTTGTGAACAATTTGTTTAATCACATTTTTTGTGTTAAAAATTATTTGNCATGCATATAACTTAAAAAGAATATAATTCATGCGTATGATTTGAAAAACTTTCTTTCCACATCTGCATACTGAATTGCAGTTGTGTGAAATACATTTCAGTTATGGTCGGATATATATTTACAGAAGTAGAAAAATAACTGCAAACCTGAAGTATGTATTGTAATTTTTCTTGTAACATACTTAAAGTCTAAGCATGACATAGGTAAATGTTAAATCTCTTTTCAAGCTTCTAGAAGTTTCAATAAGTTTCGAATTTTATTCCTTTCAAGGCCGTAGATAGAGATTAATTTCAAAATGAATTAGATCTTCTCAGCTTTTTTAACCCTTAGTATCACAGTGAAATACTCAGAAATCCCAACGTAATTTTAACACTAATCTTTTTAAGCCAGAAGGATCAAAACAGCGAGATTATTCAGAAATCGATCTTTGCATTTTGGTGTTAGAACAATAGAGGGTCCTTCTGAAATAAGTAGCAAGTTTTGAAGCTTTTTAACAAATACCAAAAACCAAGGAACTACCCGAGATAAAAATGTTCAGTCTCTTAGAGTCTCTGAAAGCGAGACTCGAGTCTCCGTTTCTCACCGAGTCTCTCTGGTGGCGCTGAGAGAGACTGTCGAGAGACTGTCAAAAAAACTGTTTAGCGTCTCTAAACTAGAGACTCGAGTCGCTCATAGAGAGATCCTCATTTCGTATCCGGTCTCTGAACGAGAGACTCGAATCTCTCAATAAGTGGTGTTTCGATAGACATGGTTAAAATTTTCAAAGTTCAACATATTTCAGAAATCCCAGTGTTTCTACGAGAGACTCGAGTCTCCCAATTTTTCAGTTTTATTCATTCAGTCTCTCTGTGAGAGACTCGAATCTCTGAATTANTGTGGTCGAATTCTGATTGCAAACGTTTCGCCATTCTTAATAGATGGCATCTTCAGTGATTCACAATGTATGATCGGCGGCCCTTTTACCTGACGAAATATTAGCTGCATTTTAACCTTTTTATTTTATTACAGCAAGTGCTTCCCCCTATCAGTCACTGTGACCTCGAAACTGTTTGTACCATTGTTTCGAGTTTCACTTTTGTGAACAATTTGTTTAATCACATTTTTTGTGTTAAAAATTATTTGAAAAATTAAATTTAAGGGAATTGTTTGTAAATGTGTATGCAACACATCGTACACTTCAGCATAAGAAATTGCTGATATTAACTTTCATTTACGTAATACTACATTGCCCTGTGCTGACAGCACTCATATTTACACTACATACTACATATTAAGATAGTTAATTTGACAAATAAATTGATCTACCTGTATGCCTCTTCCCACATCGAACCAGACGTATACATACTTATGGCAGCTTTTATATCTCCTGCTGCAACGTAATGCACTTCTGCGGACCTGTGTTTGTTTTGGTTTTCTAAATAATGACCGATATGCATATGAGTTGCTTTTAACAGATCTGGATGATATTTCTCAACCAGGCGAATCTATAAAGATATAAAAGAATAACTAGTACCTATGACAAAATCGTGGTATTTTCTGTTAGGTAGAAGCTGAGATATAAATTTGTTCTGAAGCAATATTTCAAGTGCATTTATTACACCTCCAGTTAATTTGACTTACCACANGTTGAAAGAAGGAAATAAATGCGACAGTTTTATTGCAAACTATGCCAATTTTGAATGTCCCAACTGTAGGATGCTTTTTACCGTCTCTCTTTTTCCAGTGACAGCAGGTTTCTTGAAATATCAATTGAAACAACAACATTCTCATTCTCGGATGTTTTTTTAGGCACACATTTGTTTTATTATATTTGCTTACATAATTTGAAAAGAAAATATCTTACATTCGTCATGCAAAATTACTTACAAAAGAAAAACTGTTACTGTCATAGAATATTATAAAGAATCAAGTTTCCATTTATATATAACTACAGCTAATTTGTCCAAAAGAATTTGGTATTTGAACGTATCTATGAAATTGGTAATTTCATAAAAAAAAATTAAACAATCATATTTCAATTTAATAAAATTTAATAACTCGTAGAACCGATTTTCTCTAAATAATATGTAGTTGGATCTACAAATAAAACGAGTAAGAAAAATTTTAAGCAGAAATTCTCTCGCTAGCCCTTTTTGTGAAGGAAATTTAAACTTTGTCAATTCCTTTGCAGCGCTTATGTACGCTAGTATCTTCGGTAACGTTTCGGCGATTATTCAGCGGTTATACTCAGGGACGGCGCGCTACCACACGCAGATGCTTCGCGTGAGAGAATTCATTCGTTTTCATCAAATCCCAAATCCACTACGTCAACGGTTGGAAGAGTATTTTCAACACGCGTGGACGTACACGAACGGGATTGACATGAACTCGGTACTTAAAGGCTTTCCGGAATGTCTGCAGGCGGACATTTGTCTGCATCTCAACCGGAACTTGCTCCAAAACTGCTCGGTCTTTAATGGAGCCAGTCCAGGGTGCTTGAGGTATGTTTTTGTCTTTCAAGTAAATGAAATTTTTTACAATAATTGATTACTTCGTCTTAACATTATTGGGATCCGTCAAATGGGAGGAGCCTAAAAGCATGGCGCCGATTAGGGAAAATTTATCGTAGTTCCTATAGTGTACCGTGCAATTTCCAAGTTTTTAAATTACGATAAAATGATAAGTATTGACACGATATGTGATTGGGCTGACACAAAGCCTCGGAAAGGAAATTTCGTTGAAGATATGCGGAAAAGAATTGTGTATAATTAATTTCTATTTAATTTTGTAGTGCACTGAGGGCAATTTTTAGAAAAATATCTCAATTCGAATGAATTTAAAATTGATATAATTTGCAAGTTTAACTTGGGAAATGTTTAGGAAGAAAATTTGCAGACTACATTAGTGTAAAGTGAGATGAGTGTGGGGCTCAAGAAACACTAATTCAGTTAAAACTTGTATTCTAGTACTAATGTTATTACTTTCTGCGGGCAACAATGTAGCGTCTCGAATTTAGATACCTATTGGGATCCGTCAAATGGGAGAAGCCTAAAAACATGGCGCCGATTAGGGAAAATTTATCGTAGTTCCTATAGTGTACCGTGCAATTTCCAAGTTTTTAAATGACGATAAAATGATAAGTATTGACACGATATGTGATTGGGCTGACACAAAACCTCGGAAAGGAAATTTCGTTGAAGATGAGCGTGTTTTTAATGCCAATCACATTATAAAATTCGGAAATAAGAAATCCGGAAGCTAGCCTTCAAATTCTTGCTGAAATATAATCATGTGCATTAAAATGACGTGAACAAATTTTTATTCCGGAATTCACTTCTTTGATACCTGCTGCTTTCATCCAAGTTTACTTTTTTCTCTAATTTTCCGAATATATTTTTTACATATATAAAACGGTTAGTTTTTATTAGAAAGTAGTTAATGTAGGTGAAAAGTGAAGATCTATGTCTGAAGTGCTATTGCAGCTTTTCACTGAACATATTAACTTTTTATTTGATTTAACTTTAGAAGAAAACTTCGTCGACTCCATCAT